CGTAGTAAGAGAGTACTGGTGCAGTTGTCACAAGATTCTTAATTTCTTTCATTGCCCTATCTTGCTCTTCTGTCCATTCCCATTCCACATCCTGTCTGGTGAGTCGTCGGATGGGCTCCATAACTGTAGACAGTCGAGGAAGAAATTTGGCTAAGTAGGTTATCATTCCTTGAAGTCGTCGCACTCCATCAACATTAGTTGGTTTTTCCATTTTCAAAATGGCTTCAACTTTCTTCATGTCAGGTTTTAGTCCCTTACTGGTGACTACGTGACCAAGGAAATCAACTTCACTTGTCTTGAAAACACATTTCTTGTAGTTGAGCTTGATGCCTTTCTTCGTACACACATCAAAGAGGTTTCGAAGCTTATGTCATGATCTTCTTCAGAGCATCCGAACACTAAAATGTCATCAGCTACACACACAGTTCCTGGCAAGTTATTCAAACATTCATTAAGCTTTCTTTGGAAAATTTCGGCACTCACTTTTAGACCAAATGGTAGGCGACACCAACGAAATCTCCTAAATGGAGTAATGAATGTAGTCAGGTAGCTGCTTTTTTCATCTAGCTCACAATGCCAGTAACCATGAGCGAGGTCAACTTTACTAAGGAATGTTGCCTTTGCCAGCTCTGGCAGAACATCATCGATGGTAGGAAGTGGGTACCGCTCTCTCTGGAGAGCTTCATTCAGCACTTTCGGATCAATGCATACTCTAAGTTTACCATCCTTCTTCTTCTGTACAGAAATCTGAGAACACCATTCAGTTGGCTCTGTTACAGGTTTGATAACACCAAGGTGAACCAGATTGTACAGCTCTTGTTCAACAGCAGATTTGACAGCAATGGGTACACGTCGTGGAGGACATTGCACAGGCTTGGCATTGCCATCAATTCTAAGGGATACTTTACCAGAAAAGTTTCCAACAGTGTTATTATCAAAAACTGACTTATATTCAGAGACAAGTGTTGACACACCATCAGCAACTCCATGCACTTGCTTAAAGTTACCATAATTAATGGTGATGAGCTTCATTTGTTCAGCTGCTCTTCGGCTGAGTAGAGGTGTCAGATCTTGCTTAACCACCTCAAACATCACATTGTATTTCTTTCCAGTTGTAGGGTTCTTGGTAATGATTCTGCATCTTCCAACTGGTTTCAGTGTTGACTTGTTATACATATTAAGCACAGTCTGTGACTTTTCCAGTTGTATGTCCTCATGAACATATTTCTTTGGTATAACGTTCACTGTCGCTCCACAGTCAACTTGGAATTTCACCTTTCCTCCATCCTCAAGAGACATTTCTGCGTAAACAGCGGCAGTAGAGACAGAGTTCACTGATTCTGCTATTACTGGAAACACCCATTCGGTGGAAGAATCTGATGAAGAATCATCTCTCACCACATGTGTTGGTTTCAGGGCAGAACAGCACCTGGCAAAGTGGTTTAAACCTTTGCATTTATTGCACTGCTTTCCCCATGCTTTACAAGCTTCTTTCTTCATTATGTGTTCAGCACCACAAAACTTGCATTTGTTAATTTTCCCTTTGTGAGTTAACTTGCTACTCACCTCATTAGTCTTTCTCGCGGCTTGATATCCTTTAGCATTTCTCGCCGCTGCTGAATACTTTCGGTTGTATTTACTGATGTTTACTCGATGCACTTCATCTTCTTTCCCAGCAATGACTTTCAACTGGCTGGTGGTTTTCTCGTGTGTGCGACAAATGTCTAGGGCTTTACGTAAGGTAAGCTTTCCTTCTTGCAATAAACGCTTTCGTGTGACATCATCTCTCACACCTAGGACGATTCTATCTCTCAAAAGAGACGTCTTCAAACATTCACAGAGATTGCCAGTTTTAGCTAGAGTCTTGAGGCTGGCCAAGTAATCATCGATAGTTTCATCAGACTTTTGAATTCTTGTGTTAAACTTGTACCTTTCAAAAGTTTCATTGGTTTCCCCAAGAATGTGTGCGTCCAATTTATTAAGAATATCTTCAGCAGTATCCGTATCGAGTGGATCACATCCATTATATATCTGCAAAGCTTCGACTCCCATCGTCGATATGAGAAGCGACTTTCTAAAGGCCGCTGGGTGTTGTTCAACATTAGACACAACACAATAATGCTGCCAAAGCTGTTTCCATATTTTCCAATTTTCTACGCCATTCTTCGCTAACTTAACTGGCTCGGGCGGTTTAAAAACATAGCCAGGTAGCAATGACGATCTTGAAGCTTGCTCACCCAATGAAGTAGAAGTATTAGGCTCAGATGACGATTGAGGCGTTGTAGATGAACCCTCGTCGGCCATAATTCTCGAGCCAAGTTAGACACGCAGCACACGCTTTCAACCCGTTTCTTTTACAAACAGATCAACAGATCAAATATCATATGATCCCACTGCTGCCACCAAGTTTCAAGATGTCATACAAGTATTAGAACAACAATATAAAAGACAACGTGGTTGGAACATAACAATAATGGCGGATGGGCCGTGCATCCGGGCTTTTATTACTGATTGTGCCACAGGGGGCCCAAGTACATATTGTAACAATTTCCACACGTTTTAAGATTTTTAAAACATATTTTTCATCATCCTTAAATTTTGACATCATTTTGCCTTTCACAGTTACGAATTCTAGTCATATTTCACAATATAATTATTTCAGACTCATTAAACATTTGCAGCATCATATGATAGCCCAGAGCTAAAATAAAGCAACTAAACTAAACTCAAAAGCTAGTTCTGAATTGCTTGCTGTTGGTGTATAGAAATATGTGCTTCACTGCTTTGAAAAGAAGCATTACCGCGCATGCGCTTCTTCATCTGCTGAACGCTCAGAATGCTAGCTATGAGAACGGTGGGCCACATGGTAGAAATTCAATATGAGAGAGAAAATCGTATGTATAAAAAAATTTTCCAATATCGTTATAGTTTTTTTTTAAAAAATAAATGATATATTTCACAATTATTTTTTTTATTTACATATATATATATTTTCTCTCTCTCTCTCTCTCTCTCTCTCTCTCTCTCTATATATATATATATATATATATATATATATAATATATATATATATAATATATATATAATATATATATATTTCTTGTTTCTTTTAATATATTATTAAACATTTTCATTATTTTGTCATTTTAAATGTTACTTTAAGTTGAATTTTTTATGAGAACAATGGGCCACCGTAAATTCCTTATCATTTGCTAAAACAATCTTTTGACGACGCTTCATTTTCGAATTCGAACATTAGTTAATAAGGTATATTTGGGAATAATTAGCAACGACAAGACAACCAATATCCCCCTGTTCAATGTCCGTGATTTCTGGGGAGGAATGTTTTTTTTATTTAAACGTAATAATTATAAAGACTTTTCAACTTCGAACATTAAAATATATTGTTTGCATGTTTTTGGGTAGATCTATGCACAATGAAAGTAGGATGAAATAAAAATCGAATTATACACTGGGTAAATTACTTCACGAGCGAATGAATGTTTTTCACATGTTAATGTCATTTTGGTGACAATTTGTTTCCTAAAATGACGTCGAAATATTTGATTAAGATTGAAATCATAATGCCCAAGTGCAAGACATTTTCACATTCAGCACATCATAAAAATTTTCGGAAAGAATGTCTAACTTCTACTGAACAAAATTACAAAGAAACTGAACGGGTAATAAATTAATATGTTTTGCAGCTAAATATCGATTAATTTGCATAGCAAGACTAAATCGTCAGGCCGGCTACGCCACCGCTTTGAGCAGGAAACTTATCAGTCTGTGCCACAATTTTTCAGATCCTTAACTAACGTAAGCACCTAAAAGGTTTAAAACTACAACCTTCAAAACGTCAAAACAGACTGCCAAATCTTCAGGAACTGGTCATCAAATGTTATTTTTCTAACATATAGGCAGCGAATATTTGCAGACGACTTTAAAAGCTTTGATTTAACATTATATTCCTTTAGATATCAAAACTCACATTAATATTTTCAAGAACACTTTCAGCAATGGTGTAATATAGCTTTATTTTCGTGATCGGTTATATGCCTTTGCAAACTGATATAAATTATGCTGCTCATATAAATAAACGGCATCTAATAGAGCAAATAAATAAATAAATAATATTTATAAATAAATAAATAGAGCAAATATGGAATTAAAAATGTAGATACTTACATGTTTAAAATAATAACTAGCCCATAAAGATTATATATCGTGCCTTTGCGGGGTTCTTCCATTCCAAGCTGGTATCAAGCATGAATGACCTGAGGTGAAAAATTGGGGTCTGTATACAACCAGTGTTTACGAGCAAAAAATTGGAGCAGCATGCATGCACAATGCGTCGTGTATAAATTTAAATGTGGTCTGTGCGATGCAGATTATATCGGCTACACAGCACGATATCTCTATCAACGGATTTCTGAGCCCAAATAATTATAGGATTGGTAGACACCTTTATGACGCTCATATAGGAGTGCGGTCATACTTAATACATCCAAGCATGGAAATTTAAAGTCTTAAGAAAATACCCGAACAAATTTTATTGTTATAAATATGAAATGCTTTATATCAAAGAATGTCAACCCACTTTAAATATTCAAAGTGATTCCATCCGTTGAAAACTTTTGTATTTGACGGTCAAAGATTTTATTCCAACTGACCACATTAGCCAAGCCTATAGTACTTAAACTCGAACAATTTGAACAATTTATAACTCTTATTGTCGACTTCAATATCGCCATTTTAACTTTTTAACATGTATACCAGCAAATACATTATCGCAGTACTTTATAGTCAAATAATTAAAGAAATCTTCATTAATTTTACTATTTTGTGTGATATTCTCGCATTTGTTTACATCGTTACTTCGTAAATGAAAGTCGCCTATGTTCAATAAGATAGATTTATATGATATTTAGTTGGGCGATCATATTTTAAAATACAACTTTTTTCTTTTAGTTCCATGCATAGACCCCAAGCCATTGGGAATGCAAAGCGGCAAAATACCCGATTCAGCAATCACAGCATCATCAACTTATAGTACTTCATACCACCCTAACTTCGCGAGATTGAAAAAGAGTGGCGGTGCTTGTTGTTGGGCACCAACTGCAGCAGGAAGAGTTGGCTCGTGGTTACAAGTTGATCTTGGACAAAAAACAGCTGTCACAGGATTTGCAACCCAAGGAGAATGTTATGGCAGCCAAGAGTGGGCGATCTCTTACTCGATTGCTTACAGCAACAATGGTAATAATTGGACTGATTATAAAGAGTCGGGGACTGTGAAGGTAATCATATAAACAAAACGTATATTTACAATTAGCCCAAGCTTCTCACGTGCTTTCCTATGAAAATTCGAATGTCACAAAAAATGGTTCGTATATCTATGCCTTACCAAAATAATTTTGTGCGTGGTCATTAAATCTAATTATCTCTGTAGTCATTTTAGATTTAAAAGGAACAAAAACAAAACAAAAACTAATAAAAAAATGTTACAATATTTTAAAGGGGCAATCTGTTTCTGTGTTAACGTAAAATTACAATAGAGTGCATGCACGTGAAGTTGAAATTTGGCAGCATTGAGGGCATGACTTTTGTGTTTAAAAAGTAAAGCAAATATTTCCACACGGACTTAAGTGCTAAACTTATTGCGCATGGTTGTCCCAACCAGGCGGACAAATGCGGCCCTATAGTTGCATGGAAAAGTGTTACATATAATTAATCGAAGTTTATTAATTTTAATAAAACTAATCCTAGGTGGTTTTTCGCAGGTTTTCCTAGGCAACAAAGATAAAAACTCCATTGTTACCAACACATTTAAAACTGGAATCAAAGCTCGATACATTCGTGTGGTGCCGAAATCATGGAGCAACTATCCTACAATGAGACTCGAGTTGTACGGTTGTCACTGAGTGGAACTTGCTCTCTTGCATGAATTGATTCCATGAAACATACTGTTAAATCATTTTTAAATCATTAGAGTAAATTTCCCAACAGTTGAATGTTTAGTGGATGTAACCACATTGTGGTTAACCTGATTTGTAGACTACCATGTTTCCTCTTAAAATCATACAATAAATGAAATTGAAAAATTCTTAAAATTGGCATTTATTGTTTCGTCAAAATTCTACTACGCTAACTAACACTAACCTCAGTTTATATATAACCTAGGAAACACGGGTGTGCAGATATTTTCCGGGGGTTGGTGCAAATTCTAATTATTGGTTCCAATTCTCTTAAAAATTAGAAAATGAAGCTTGTTCGTATTATTTAGGTAAATTTTGTACCACCTCAGTATTTCGATGAAAACTAAGCCATCGATTATCAACTGATGTATATTAGCATCCCTCACGGCGACTTTCAATGGACGACTTCCGCTTTAGACTAATTTCTTACCTCGAAGATAAAAAGGAAAATAGCTAAGTAAAATTAGTGAAACTGCTAACTTTGTCTGCGAATTGTTGTAAATTACGGAACACGGCCAGAAATTGCGGACATGCGCCCGCTCGCACGCCCTCAGCGGCTCTGCTTATGTAATCAAAATTCATATTTACAAAGTAAAATGGCTTCCTCTGCTGGTGCAAAGCGTAAACATCTGGTCGATTCGAGAGTCGATTACAAACAGTGTTTATTTTATATTTTGACATACTCACAAATTTTTTGACACGTTGAATTCATCTGCCAAAATATGAATTCTTCTTCGGAGCGATCAAAGTTGTTTATCAAAATTTTGAGCTAAGCACAGCTAGTTGTCCTCACGGCCCGTTTTATACGATTTTTGGCAAAGATTTGCAGGGCGATGAAAACAAATGTAGTTCTCAAATTCGTTGGACTATTAGGTATATACATACCTTGGAAATGAAATGAGCTCGGCAGATGTGAATCGAACAGTACAAAACGCATAATGCTGAGACAAAGATCACCATATAGCCATGCAAAGTTGACGAATTTTGTGCCCTAGCGGGCGCGGAGCGCCTGCGAGGTTACTAATTCCGTTCTGAGATTAGGAATTGCACCCGGAACCCGGGAAAACATAGCGGAATCCAAAGTTGTCCAAATTCTATGTCATGGACGGTCGACGTTGGATGGCTTTGTAAGTTATGCGCATGCGCGAGTAACGACTGGTAATCAATAAAACGTTTCGATTGGCTAAGACCAAAGGTTTGTATTTCAATGAGACGTCTGCAATTTAACCGTCAATTCTTAAACCTTTTTGTAAAAGCGTTTCGTAAACTTTGCGCAAAATAAAACCATGGATAATAAAATCACTGGATAGGAAACTATAGTCATTTGGGGTGCTTAGGGATATTTTGATTGGTCGAAAGGCGTTTTTCATGTTTTTAAAATGGCTGAAACTGTGTTGAAAAATCTGATGTCACCGATGGCGAATATTTACGAAAGTATGATTGATTTCCTCATGTTTTTGACTGAAGCATCCTGCATGAAGTGAAACACATTTTAGTATAGCTGGTACATATACATTCAAGTACAAAGAAATATTCAACCCTATTACTTTGCAAGATTGCCAGAGTTAAATCATATGTTAATTAGACAAATTACTAGAATAAAAAACAGTGGACTTACCTATCATTTGGGTTGAATGGACTATATTCATTACTGCCCTTTAGCCAGTTAATTAGGTGGTGTTTGAAGTACTTCTCTAAACGTTCATGTAATTCTCTCCACCAACGCTCAATCTAGTAAAATATTGAAAATGAATTGTGTGCTGCTTTGGTTGATTATTCAGCTTCACCATACAAACAATTATAGCTACATTCCACCCCCAATAACCCTTTTTAGCAAAACAGAGCCTCTTGGATGATAAGGGCAGAATTTAAAAGAAACACTTGACCAATGGAGTTACTGTAGGGAAGCAATATTTCACTGGTCCATTATTTCTTTCACCTCTCCCTTAATTACCCAAGATGCTCTTATGGTAAAAGCTCTTGCTGCAAAAAGCTCTTATGATGCAGAGAATATGTAGTTTATTACATTGATTGCCCTTACTTGATTTGAAGTTGAAGGCCTATAATTACACTGGCGGTCAAAAAGAACTGCTCAAAACAAGTTAAAATGCTCTCAAATGAACGTAACTGTCCCTTTAACAATATATAAGAGTATAAATATAGACTAGATTACATGCTAAGCTATATGAAATATTAATATTTTGTTGACCCTCCTTCGGCCTTATAATTGATGACGGCCTTACACCGGCGTACTTTCTGTTAAGTTGGTAATCTTAATGCTCAAAAGAAATTCATCCTATGGACAGTCTTTACAGCTACGCATAAATCATGGACGCTTTATGAACTAATTCCTTTCTTGCACTATCACTTTCACATTGTCTCACATATGTTCAATATGGTTAAGGCCTTTTGACTGTGCAGGCCAATCAATTTTTTGTCACTCTCTCTTCCTGACACCATTGTTTGACTATATCTTGGAAGTGTGGCAGGTTGCATTACATTATTGAAATATTGCTTGGAATAAGAGAATTATCCAAAATTCCTATGAAGCTCTCTCCTATATTCGCTTTTTCTTTATGAATTTGTATCTAAACAGTTCTTTTTGACCGCTAGTGTACAATAAAAGATTGATTGTTACGATTCCTGTTACATACGACAATAGCAACATTTGAGCAGTTCTTTTTGACCGCCAGTGTATGTACAACTGTATCATACACTCGACTCCGTATCCCCATTATTTCGGCGTAAAAATGCATGCATGGTTGCCATGTTGCCGGTCTCAGTAGCCTTGTCTAGCTGCATGATAGATGCAATAACCATGCTTTCATACAAATAATCTAAGTACCATGTGCCTATTACCTTCGGATCGCTGTTGCTCACCCAAATGCGAAGCCATAGAAGTTTCCGGCTTGCAGAATCAATGAAACCATAAACTGCCAATGGAAAAGTGGAGTTTTGATATCCCATCAGCTTGTCGTAGCCGTCTAATAAATGGACCCAATTTGGGCCCTTTGTCGTGAAATTTCCCTTCCCTCTCTTGTTCTTCTTGAGACCAACCCCACCACGTTGTTCCCAGCCTTCTGGATCAAGCTCACCCATTACTGCGTGCACCAGATCTCTTGGTACATTCAGGTTGTGTTCCAGTCTAACTTTTTTTTGCATTGCTCGATACCCAAGCAATTGACCAGGTCCGTTTAACTCTTTTTGAACTGCCTCTTTAACTTGATCAACCCTCACGTCTCTATCTGTGCGTTTTAACTCGAAATAACTAAGTCATCTATCCAAAGTTCGGATGCTCCACGCGTACTGTGGAAAGTCTCTTCTTAAGAAATCTAGCATCTCATTGCGTTGATAACCTTCCCTCACGTGCCTTGCCATTTGTTCTTTTAGCTGTTCGTCTTCAACCCAGTTGATATTTCGAAAGTACGCCATGTTCAAAAAAATGCCCGCAAGGTATTGTGGTATACTGTGGCAGCTCTAGGCCGTGTGGAAATTTGAATTTACTTTCAAATTATTTTAACTTTATTTTAATGTTAAAAAATATTCTATTTAATTTGATTTTCTTTTGTTTTAAATTACTTTTATTTGAAATTCGTTTCAATTTGATTAATTTTGATAATTTCATTTTGGAAAAATTTTTCGGTCACCATAGAGATCTTATGCATTAGAGGTACAAAAAATATGTACATTTTTATATATAAAGTCTAATAAAACAAGCATTTTATATTATATAAGTATTTTATAGTATATTATATATTATACTACATTTTATAGAATATATTATGGATATTTTACTTTGGAAGTCATGTGTAAGAATCCTTCTTTATATGTTCTCTAATGATAATATATTATTTATGTCCTTGGAATTGATTCAGCCAAAAAAATACTGTCATAAATCACCAACCCCCATTTTCGCCATTTTCGGCTCGACACCTTGTTTGAAAAATGTCGTCAAACGCCCAGATAATTTTGAACTTTCAAAAAAAATTTTTCACAGTTGTGATGTTAGAGGAAAAATATTGAAAGTCATAAAAGGGCAAGCGAATGGAATCACTTGTTTAGGAATGACGAACAAATATTTATAGGGGTGCGCACCCCCGGTACAAACAGGGGCGGATCTAGGATTTTTCAAACATAAGTCCAAATTGGAAAATTTTGAGAAAATTTTTCAAATCGGCGGATCGGAATTTTGATTATTTCGGCTCATTTTAGGGTTCATCACAATGCCCAGGAAAGACATACTAGATTCCGCTTATTAACAGAGCTGGCGAGGGTCATATTTCAAAACACACAACTTTCCCATATATTATCCCCTTATGATAGCAATAGTTGATTTAACACAAATTAAACAATATCCTCAAATAATATAAAGAGAAATATTCCATTGCTTCGTGTAAGATGCATTAGGCGTACAAGAACTTTACAAAACCGTGCTAATCATAACAAACATAATATGCATCGCAAACTTCAGTATAATGCAAATTATCAAACACTCTAGCGAGTATTGAGTAAGTAGGCTTATCCATTCTAGTGCATTTTACGACAGGATACGTTTATAACCATAAATTATGAGCATAGGAACTACTAGGAAGATTATGATATATAAAATATATTGATAATTGATCAGGTTTACACAACAAAGCGGCATGAAATCAATAACTGTGAACGAACTTGTCGCATGCATGGAACACTCCTAAATCATTATATTTTAGGTATATGCTATATTTGTATATTATATCCATGTTAAACGTTCTCTTACCAACACAGTCTTAGTTTGCATGTTCAGCAGGGATATCGTGATTAATTCCCTCGTCTATTAAAGTCTAACATCAACACAGTTGCTCGCATGAAATCGCTGCTCCACGATAATGCTTATCAAGAGCCAGTTATCTTGTCAGTAAAATCCTGCTTCGAATGTCCGCGTATTAAAATAATTTTCTAACAAT